TTGCTCAGTTATGTATGCTTAAACTATGTTGTTCCTGTTCTGTCGTTGGCATGGTTTGTCCCAGGGTGAAAATGTCAACTTCTATTCTGTCTCACGGCCTTGTGCTCTAGGGCTGATCTTGTAAATGAGTTGGTTTCTTTCTTTCCTAATTCTGAAAACTCTATTTCTCTTTCTAAGGTGGACTGCTGGGGACAGCTTTTGCAGTTTACCAGTGTGTGTACAAAAGTTACAGTTCCTTAGCTCTTCTCTAGGCAGCGGTCTGTTGGCACCCTTCGTCACAGACAGGCTTTCAGTAATCGCCCCACAGAACAGATTACTTTGGACAAAAAGATTACTTTGTACTCTGTGGATTTTGCATTTGTGCCATAACACCTTGAAAACCCTATCACCTAATACTGTGAAAACTCCTTGCTTACTTACGCAAAATCCCGCAAGATCTCCTATTTTGTTTTGGCTTTTGTTGGCTGCCTGATGAATTGCCTGAAAGGGAGTGGAATTCTGGAAAGTAAGCAAGGAAGAGACAAGGCTGAGCACAAGGAGTACGAGCGAGCGGGGTGGCATTAGAAATCACTCCTAAACTGTCATAAGCACAAGGGAAAGTCCGTGACTAAAGCCACAGGGTCACATCCATCACCCCCCCCCCCCCCAACAGTGTGTGTCTGGCAGAGAGGAGCACTAAGAACCCTTGAGGCGATGTTTACATGGATGTCCTTTAAAAAAGCATTTCAAGAGTCTTTATGCCAAATAAAAGTGTCCCTTTAGGAGCCCAGGCCAGTTAATTCGAAGTAAAGCTGTTTGTGTGAGGGATGATTTCAGCCCAGCTGTTGTCCACACAGCACACCAGGCCCGGAACAGAGCAAAGGTCTGCGCACAGCTGCGGGCTGATGTCACTGCCTGGGGTTGGGCCTGCGCTTTGGACTGTTGTACTCACAGCGAGCGAGCCGTATATCCTCCCTCCTGGGTCTGACCCATCTTTCCCTTCCCTCCCCTCTGCCTTCCCTTCACCTCGCTCACTGGCCAACAAAACTTAAATACTTTTAAGCTTTGTTTTCTTTTCTTTTGTTTTTTCTTTTTTTTTTTTTTTTGAGATTTTAAGATATTAAGATTTTTTTTTAAGATTTTTTTAAGATTTTTTTTTTTAAGATTTAAGATATTTGAGAGAGAGACTGAACAGGAGCAGGGGAGGGGGAGGGGCAGAGGGAGAAGTAGGCTCCCTGCCGAGCGGGGAGCGCAATGATGTGAGGGGGGCTCAATGCAAGGGGGACCTCCATCCCAGGACCCTGAGATCATGACCTGAGCTGAAGGCAGACGCTTAACGGACTGAGCCACCCAGGCGCCTTTTTTTTTTTTTTTAAAAAAACAGGAAACGCCCTGTCCAGTGGCTAATGTAAGAGGATTTCCATCTATTCTATTTGATTTTGAAGTCTGATGCACCATAGATATACACTGAAACGGACGGTTGTTTCATTACAAACGTGTTAAAATTCGGCAGGTGTAGCATACTGTTAACTTCATGTAGAAGATCTTCTAGCTTTTGGTTCACTTAGACATTTCTGTCTCTGATAGGAGCATTCAGATGGGCTGGGATCATACTATTTCTTTTTTTTTTGGATATTTGAAATTCCAATGGAATTAAGTGAAAAGGCTGTATGGAACCAAAATTGCCCTAACTAGAAAGTTGTTTGATTGTATTTATTTATTTGAGAGAGAGCGCTTGCATGCAAGCACTCACTGTGGGGGAGGGGGGGGCAGAGGGAGGGAGAAGCAGGCTCCCCACTGAGCAGGGAGCTGGATGTAGGGCTGGATCCCAGGACCCAGATCAGGACCTGAGCCCAAGGCAGACGCTTAACCGACTGAGCTACCCAGGTATCCCTAACATTTGCCTACTTGAATCTTTTTTTTTTTTTTTTGCACCTTTGGTAAATAATCAGTACAATAAAAAGGAAAAGTAAGAAGTGTTGCATGACCGTCAGCATAGTCATTATCTTTCACTAAATTCTTTTAAAGAAAAGAAATTAACTTCTAAAATTTAGTTCCACAGGACTGAATTTGATGATTGCTATAATCTGGCCTCCATCTACCTTTTTAGGTCTATTTCCCATTGTTCTGCCTTGTGAATGTTCTAGTTCCCAGGGCACACCGTGCGGTCTCCCACCATTGGCTTGTGGTAGAATAGTTGTCACTCTCAGTATCAGAATGGCATTTTTGTATGGCTCAATTTTAAAAAACTGCTGACCAGATCAAAACCACAGTGAGATGCCATTTCACACCCACTAGGCTGGCTTAGAAAAAAAGAAAATTAGTTTTGGTGAAAATGTGGAGAAATTGGAACCATTGTGCACTGCTGGTGGGAACATAAAATGGTGTAGGCATTATGCAACACAGTACGGTGGTTCCTCAGATAATAACAGAATTACCATTAGATCCAGCAGTTCCATTTCCAGGTATATACTCAAAAAGAACTGAAAAAAAAAAAAACAGATGTTTGTGCACCCATGTTTATAACAGTAGCATTCACAGTAGCTAAGAGGTAGGAGGCAACCCAAGTGTCCTTTGACAGATGAATCGATAAACAAAATGTCCATTGACAGATGAATCAGTAACAAAATGTGGTCTATACATACAATTGAATATTATCCAGTTTTACAAGGAAGGGAGTTCTCCCACCCACTACAACATGTATGAACCTTGAAGACCTGATGCTGAGTGAAATAAGCCAGGCACAAAAGGACAAATTCAGTATGGTTCCATTTATAGGAGGTACTTAGAAGAGTCAGATTCACAGAGAAAAGGTAGCAGTGGTGATTGCCAGGGGAGGAGGACGGAAGAGGGATTGAGGAGTTACTGTTTAATTAATAGGGAGTTTGAGTTTTGGGGGAGAAAAAGTTCTGGAGCTAGATGGCAGTAATGTTTGCACAACTGTGAATGCGCTTAATGCCACAGAACCGTACGCTTGAAAATGATGGAAAATGGTAAATTTTATCTTGTATATATTTTGCCACAATTAAAAAAAAAAAAAGTTTGTCTTAATCTGCAGACTGAACCTTCCATACCATACTCGCTGGATGTCAACTACTTTGAGTGCCATTTATTGGACCCTTAGGGACTGCCCTGTATTGTTCTCCTCAAAAGTATAGGTCTTGTCTTCTCACTTAGACAATGAGCCTCCCAAGGAGAGGCTCCATGTTGTTTCTCACCAGTTTCTGGCCCAAAAGACAGCTGGGTGGGGTGGGAGAAGCCCAGGCTTTGGATGCAGATCGTCAGAATCCAGACTGCTTACCACAATCCAGTCTTCTGCCACTTACTTAGCTATGTGCTTATAGGCAAATGATTTACCCTCTGTTGGTTTCCTTGTTCATTTAGTAATAAGGTTCTCACAGGACTTCTGGAAGGGTTGGATACTGTGTAGGGAGCCCCCATTCTTCACCAGTCACTGACTAATAGGTTGTTTTTTTTTTAAAGATTTTATTTATTTATTTGAGAGAGAGAGAATGAGAGAGAACACATGAGAGGGGGGAGGGTCAGAGGGAGAAGCAGACTCCCTGCCGAGCAGGGAGCCCGATGCGGGACTCGATCCCGGGACTCCAGGATCATGACCTGAGCCGAAGGCAGTCGCTTAACCAACTGAGCCACCCAGGCGCCCTAATAGGTTTTGTTTTTTTTTTTATGTTCCTTTCCCCTTTAATAAATATTTGTGGATTTATTTGAATTTTAATGGTTCTCTTTAGCAGACACTATTCTTGTCATTATTCAATATAGTCCATTTTGCCTCTGAAAGAATCCCAATAGGGGACATGTGACTAATATTTCTACTACCACATGGCATATTCCCAAGAAAACAAGTCTACCTCATTGTTGGAAATTCATCCCAGGAACCAGCCAATCTCACATTACTTAAGTAGAATGATCATTAAGCTAAACTCTCCTTTTCTTTGCCCTAAAACTCTTATTCCTTCTACAACTGCAGAAATATATATTCCTTACCAAAAGAGAGGTAAGGATTCACAACTGACTTACCAGTACTCATTTTATATTAGTCCATGGGCACTTGAGGATATTGAGAACATGCATCCTCCTGACAGAGTATCACTCATTTCACCTGTTCTGAATGTCAGTGAAGGAAGGCTGGAAAAGGCAAAAGTCAAGCTTCCTGAGAAATTACAGGGATCTTCCAGGATATATTATAGTGTGGGTGGGTATGCATTTATGTGCAAGTTCTGCGATGTATTATTAATCATTATGTGTTTTCAGTAGTGGTGGTGAAGAGTAAGATGCTCCGATTTTAAATTATGCCTTTCAGATCACTTTGCCTTTAAAAATAATCACCTTTTGATATATTGTAGCTTTTAAAATGTTTTTTTTTCCCTAAAGTTGGTATGCTCTGGTTGCTTCAACATATTCTAATACTTTGTTTTTATTACTGTATTTTTGAAATCAGCTCAAATTAAGACGAAGCTTAAAATCCATTTATTTCTTCTTTCTGATCTTCCCTGTTCCCTCTGTGTCTTAGCTTCTCCCTACTGGCTGGCCATCCTTAGAGACGCCTCGGCCAATCAGAGCCTTCTCTCCTTATGGCCCCTGCACTGATTGGTCAACACACAAAAGGGTGATCCTCCCTTGGAAACCTGGTTTTTCTCAAGTACTTCTGTTACTTCTTGCTAGGTGGTTGTGTGGGGGGGTTTTGTTTTTTGTTTTTCGTTTTTTTTGTTTTGTTTTGTTTTGGTTTTTTTTGTTTGGTTGGTTTTGTTTTGTTTGTTGTTGGTTTTTTGTTTGTTTGTTTTGGTTTGGGAGGTTTTATTTTGCTGCCAGCGACCATTTCCTCTTGTTCCTATTTATTGTTCATTTTTATACCATTACATTTGAAAATCTGGTCAAGAGAGAACGAAGTACTCTGAGAGTACTGTGTTAATATTTCCAGAATCATCACAGTTATGCGTGAATGTGATGAATTTAGGAATTTCGCAGATGAAATATCTTTTCCCTTTTTTATCTCTTTTCAGTCACTGCTTCATCTACCTGTGAGAAATTAGAAAAAGCCAGGAATGAGTTGCAAATAGCTTATGAAGGATTTGTCCAGAAGCTAAACCAGCAGCACCAGACTGATCTATCAGAGCTAGAGAATCGGCTTAAAGAATTTTACACCGGGGAGTGTGAAAAGTTCCAGAATATTTACATTGAAGAAGCAGAGAAGTATAAAACTCAGTTGCAAGAGCAGGTTTGTGCTTTGGAGCCTGAGCATGTTCTTGGTCATGGCTATTTATTTAAATTCTAATTGTTTAATGAGGAACTTCCTTTGAACTTCTCTTTATTTAAATAGGTGAAAAGGGGTTTTTCAATTAATTTTTTTCTACGATCAAGTAAGAGTGAAAAAAGGGAGAAAAAACAAAGAAAAGTTAAGGGGAAAAAAAAAAACTTTATCGTACTACCTGGAAGTAATCCCTTTGTGAGCATTTTGATGTTACACTGCTAAATGATTGGTTTGCATTTCTTCTTTTTTAAAATGACAATAATCCATATTTTTCATGTAATAGTATGTCATAAGCTTATTTTTAATTTTCTTGCTTCCTTTTAAAATCAGTTCTCCATTTAGTAAGTATTTGTTGAGTGCCTACTGTATGCCTGGCATGAGCTAGGGATTGAGGATATAAAGACCAATGTGACAGGCGTGGATTGTACGTGGTCCTGTCACTGTGAAACATAGCCTCATTCCTTATGATGGGCCGTTGGTATCAGTGAACCGTGGAGAACCTGTGTGTTGGTGTTCCTGAGGGGGAACAGACTGGAGAATTGGGAGGGGCAGATCCAGCTTGGCCTGTTCTTTCCATGTGTTGGGCAGCCTTTAACGTGAATGCATGCTTATGTGTCAAGTCTCCCAATACTGTTGCTTATTACTCAAGACTTTTAATTTTTTGTTCTTTTTTCTTCTTCTAGTTTGACAACTTAAATGCTGCCCATGAAACCTCTAAGTTGGAAATCGAAGCCAACCACTCAGAGAAAATCGAATTGCTAAAAAAAACCTATGAAACCTCCCTTTCAGGCAAGAATGCTTTTTTTTTTTTTTTTTTTAAATAGAATCAGGTCTAATGGAACAGCGTGGTATGTTTTAAAACGGAAATGATTTGTAACTTTCCCTTCCAGAGAATACCCTGTGGTATTCAGTTTGGAGTGTTTTTGCTTTCTTTTTGCATCGTTCATTGTTAGCAGATGCCCTTTTCCCCTTAGGATGCAAATAGTAGTTTGTCACAAATGCCAGCCATTTCAGAAATAGGATGAACTTTTAAAGAACGTAAAGGCCTTTTTGGTAGTAGTAGTTCTTTACCACTTGAAGTCCTGGGAAGTTAAAAGTGTTAGTTGGTATCCTGGCCACAGTAAAGGATCGGTGCTCAGCAACACTTGCTCACCAACACTCTTGCACTACAACGATGTCGTGAAATGGAGATGGCCCTGGTTGGAGTCAAGAAAGAGTATTTTTAGAATTATTTTATCATGATTGGAAAGGCCGAAGTAGAAGGAAAAGAAGGAGCCATTTCTTTAAGAACGCAAAGGATAGCAGAAGTTGTTATGCTAAGCTCCATGCACCCCAGAGATAAGCGTGTGGACGTGGGCTGAGAACGGGCGGGCTCACCTTTGGCAAAGGCCTTTTCTCATCAGAAAAAGAGAGTTGTCGTGTGAAGTCAGAGACGACAACATCGAAAAGTGACTGACCCAGGGTTGATATTTAGTAAACATTGTCCTTCTTCCTTCCTGCTAGGATTGGGTTTAATTTTAGACTTCTGTTTGGTTCATGAAGAGCAAATGGAAAAGCACACAGGAACTCCAGAGCATGGGGGTGAAGGCCATTGTTGGAGGCGCTCTCCCCTGAGGAGGACGCTCTGTTTCCGCTGGCCTCTGGGGGCCTCTCTGCTCTCCATCATGAAATGGAAATATCTGCCCTACTCCTCTCATAGGGCTAATTTGAGAACAGATAGCTTAATTCTTATAAAAGCATCTTACAAATATAAAGTAACATAGTCCTCCTGCTTCATAATCAACTCTTAGATCTACGTGCTTTAACAACCGTAGAATACAGTGATCTCATAGGATGTCATTGCCTCCAAAAAAAATCCCTTCTTTGCAGAAATCAAGAAAAGCCATGAAATGGAAAAGAAGTCACTTGAGGATATGCTTCAAGAGAAGCAGGAATCGCTGGAGGTGGGTCAATCTCACTTACCCCCACCTCCTCCCCGCCCCAGATATCCGCATTCCTGAGGTTTGTGTGGTTTGGGTAATGTTTCTGTGTACATTTGCTATGTTTCTGGTGTCTGCTTGCTAACTTGTGCTCCACATTTCATTGTTTGTTTTAGAAACAAATCGATGATCTGAAGAGTGAAAATGATGCTTTAAATGAAAAGTTGAAATCAGAAGAACAAAAGAGAATATCAAGAGAGAAAGCAAATTTAGTAAGTTGTGCATGCTTCTCCATCACTACGGAGTTCTCTTCTGCTCAGCTGCCCGTGAGGGTCAATGATACGGGTTTGGACTCCTTCCATATGTTGCAGAGTGATTTTTAAACTGGCTTCTTTGTTTACTGGTAGCTTTTTAGAAATCCTAAGAACTGACATACAGATGAAGCCCCGTACATTGTGAGTGGTCTAAGCTGATAACTACGGCCAGATAAGAAAACTGTCAATGAGGGTCAGGGTTTCACGTGAAGACTATAGTTTTGTTTTGTTTTTTAAACTAACTGGTATATTGAGATATAATTGACATACCATGACATTCACCCTTTGTTAAATGTGCAATTCAGTGGTTCACATGTTGTGCATTGGTCACCATTATCTACTTCCAGAACATTTTGTCACCCCAAAAAGAAACCCTGTACCCATTCCCCCCCGAACCCCCAAAACCCCCCAGCCCTAGGGAATCACCAGTCCACTTTCTGTCTCCATGGATTTGCTGATTCTGGACATTTTGTATAATTGGAATCATGTTCTCTTGGTCTTTTGTGTCTGGCTGATTTCACTCAGCTTATGTTCTCAAAGTTGATGCATATTGTAATATGTGTAGGCGCCTCATTCCTGTTTATGTCTGAATAGTATGTCATACGGGCAATCCTCACTTTGGAAAAGTACAAATTTATCTCGTAGGCTCAACTTTCTCCTGCAACTTGTATCCTTATTCACCTGGCCCCCACCTTACTTTTGAGAAAAAATTTCTGTTTCTGTCTTCAGTACCACCATTTTCCTTCCACATATTTGTGCGTGGGACTGCAGAAGCAAAGTTCTTTTGCTGCTTAAAATCTACCAGCTCGAAAAGTACATGTGCTTGGGTCTCTCAGTGAAATCTTTTGAGGATGTCTTTGGACACCCTCTAGACATTTGAATACAATTAGTTGAGATGAGGTCATAGTCAATGTTCAAAGCTATTTATTCTGGAAGGTTCTTAGACAAAGCAATGATTTCAAAAAAAAAAAAAAAAAAATCTAGACTTACATGCAGGGTGTAAACCTTACAAGTGGTTCCAGGAACAGATTTTAAAGAGCTTCCTGGAACTGCAGCAGCTTTTGAAAACTAACAGAAACAGATTGAGGAAAGCAGGGCTACCTGAGGCCTGACCCCCTGGGGGAGTGTACCTGATGCTGTGGGAGGGCGCATTTGAGGAAGGCCCAGGCAGGCAGAGAAGTCGGCAGAGGTGCGATGGGAACAGGGCTGTGAATGCTCAAAGCTTAAAAATGGACAGAATAAATGATACTGTCTCCTTTTAACAAAATGAGATATGGTTTTCTTTTTTTCCCCTAAAGATAACAGATCCTGTGTCAAAGGGTGAGAGTATTGGAGGCCTATGAAATTTGGAGAAGAGCCCTGGATTCGCAGGCTTGGGTGTTATGCCTGCCCCGGCCCTTTCCCGCTCTGGCATGTTCCCTGAGCCAGTGCCCTGCATTGTGGAACTCACTCTCTCCTGTGGAGTGAGGGCTTTGAATAAGTAGTCCTGAGAACCCATTCCCTGCTCTTCCCTAAGGCTTGGTCCCGAACATTAACCACTGCCCAGGAGTATAGTTTGGGTGATCTACCACTGCTGACGCTTGTCTGAGAAAGTCCCTCATTAAATCTGATCAGTAGATTTATATGTTTTGGATGGTTCACTTGGATTTCCAGAAAAAAAGGAAAGAGTCCGGATTCCACTCTGGGGGTGTGCTCTAAGAGGATGTCTCCCCTTATGTAGTGTTTGTTTTGGACAGAATTCCAGTGCATGTGCTGTACGCCATATAGCGGTCAGGTGTCACAGAATAAAAGAGAAGTACTGGACAGCTCAATATAGTCCCCTCATAATAAAAATCCCAAAGACTCAGGGCGTTGTTGTCACTTGGTGGTTTTCCAGAGAGCCCTGTAAATGCACTGCCTTTTCATTCCTGGTCAGTTACTGACTTGGTTGGCAGAGAACAGTTCCCTTTTCTCCCTCCAAACGCCAGGAAAGGACTTGTAATGGCCTCATCTCTAGCCAGAGTTGTTTTGTATTGTAAGCAATGTTTTTGGTTTTTTTTCCTCTTCCAGTAAAATATTTGGTGTGACCAATATTTTCCCTTGTTAAGTTCCCGATAAATGAGTGAAATGTTTGTTTTCAGAGATGAAATGTCTTATTTCATTCTTATAACCAAAGACTTTGAGATTACAGTTCTCTTAACCCTTTTTTTCCACCTCTTCCCCTGAAGCTGCTGTAAGAAGGTTAGAAGTCTCTAGCTATTTGTTTGCCCAATTTCTAAATCTAATCAAAGACTCTTTCTATTAAGAATTTGACAACGTGTGGTTAAATAATCAGAGCTGTGTCCTGCTGTGTCTGTTCCAGAAGAACCCTCAGATCATGTATCTGGAGCAAGAGTTGGAAAGCCTGAAAGCCGTGTTGGAGATCAAGAACGAGAAACTCCACCAGCAGGACATCAAGTTAATGAAAATGGAGAAACTGGTATGTTTCTTCAGGGTTTTACCCAGTAGAACAAAGACTGTGGCATAGAAACTGGGCTCTGAGCTAGAGCCGTGGAGTTGTTTTAACTGCTACTCAAGTGCTTAGAAATGTGCAGAAGGCAACAAGAGGCTACATTTTCTTCTGTGGGTTTGCTCCAGGCTTATTTATTGCTGCCTTCTGGAACTTTTTTTTTTCCCCCAAGGAACACAGAAAGCAGCATTTGGGTCCTTGGAAAAGCCACAACAAACAAATTAGGCTTCTGTTTTAGGGTCTGTGAATCTTAATGCATCTAAGAAGAATTTTGAAATCATGTAAAATCAGTACTTTAAATATATCACCAACTCTGGGCTGGTGTCTTATGTCCCAAACAGTTGAATATGTAAATGAATCACATTAGGGTAATTCAGTTTGCTATCTAAATTCTTAATCTCTCTCGTGAATTAGAGTGTGACGGAAGAGTCATGCTCTCATAAAATTAATCTGGTTGGACAAATGCAAACATTATGAAAAATATGAATGAGGTGGAGTTTGTGGCCTCTAGGACAGAGCACCAGCGTCGGCCAGTGACAAGTTCGCCAAGAAGTCTGTGTTCAGGTGGAGCACGGCTGCTGGGAGCCAGAGTCTCACCAAGCGGACAGGGTTTGGCAAGGCAGCTTAAGTGATCCCAGCCATTGCTGTACTTGGCCCTTGACTGTACCAGCTGCCTCATTGTGCCTGTCCCTTGTCCCCCAGTTATGAGTGATTCATTGTTGAGTGACCGAGTGCCTCATTCAAGCCCCAACCGGCTCTGGACAACAGGAAACCTGGAGGCCACTCTTTGTTTGCTTTTTTGTTTGTTTGTTCGTGTTTTGGTGTTTGGTTTGATTCAGTTTTCTTCTAGAGACACCATTACCTCACTGTGGAGGGAGGTAAGGGCTAAGCCCCCATCTGGATAAATGGGCACTTTGAATTGCCAGGCAATTGTGATTTTTTCTTTTAAAGGAAGGAAAGAATTCTTACGGTTTATTAACGGGCCTAACCTAATATAGATACCAGTTCCTGCCAAAGGTCATCCTGTTCCATCAAGCCTGATAACTCAGCTAATCTCACAGTCATTGGTGATGTAGATCACCCTATTAATAATTTGTTGCCCTATGTGCCGTTCATGCATCCAAACTTTTCAAAATACCATATACATGAAGAACAGGCTCTGCTATAAAGTTAACAACACATTGTAGTTATTGTTGACCCATAAACATTTTTGTTTCTTGCCATGCCGGAGAGGTATCATGGTATTAGTTAGCATAGAGTTGATACAACAGGTAAACCCATGGTTACTTTATCTACAGGCATACCTCAGTGAACGATATTGTGGGTTTGGTTTTAGGCCACCACAATGCCAATATTGCAATAAAGTGAGTCACATGCTTGGTTTCCCAGTGCATATAAAAGTCTGTTAAGTGTGCAATAGCATTATATCAAAAAAAAAAAAAAATCCATGCACATACCTTAAAAGTGCTAACTATCTGAGCTTTCAGTGAGTTGTAATCACTAATCACAGGTCACCATAGCAATTGTAATAATATTGAAAAAGTTTGAAATATTTCCAGAATGACCAAAATGTGTCAAAGACCTTGAAGAGAACAAATGCTATTGGAAAAATAGTGCTGATAGACTTGATTGACATGGGGTTGCCACGGATTTTCAATTTATTTAAAAAAAAAAATCTGCAAAGTACAAGGAAGTGACATATAATAAAATGAGGTATGCTTGTATTCGTAAGCTCAGAGCCTTTGTAGAAAATAAGACTTGTAGAAAGCAAGGAGGCTTTCTCAGTTCGAAAGCTTTGGTATGACAACTAGCTCTACCAATGGTTAGCTGTGTGGCAACACAAGGGCTAGTTTCCTATAAAAGGAGACCTTGGATGAGATAATACTATCAGGCCAATCCCTGCCCAGTCTCTCATTCCAGATTGCCTCACATCATGTGTTATTTCGAATTCCTTTGTAACTGCTGGAAATACCAAGGCTCCCTTTTTCTTACAGTCTCATTTTTGGGAAAGTTTTTCCACCTGGCGGACTTGTTCTGAGCACTTTCTGGATAATAAGAAATTTTAAGAACAGTAGGACTCCCAACCAAGAGTCGTAGTCAGAGTGGATGAGTCATACATTGCAGAGACAGGGATTAGTGATGTCACCACCTCAGCAAGTAATCAAATCTTACCTTTAGAAAGTAATGGGATGTAATCAGCTCTTCATCATGTTAAGTGATTAAATGTCTTCTGGGATTTTATCCTTGAATCTCTCCCCTGATCAATTTGTTTTTCTTGAAAGTTCTCCAGCAGGAGAACAAATGTTTCTTCCCCTGAACTGGGGAGGGAGGCTTTGTGTAGTGAGTGCTCCTTCTCTCAATTGGTGCTCCACAGAGCTTGGTGAATGGGCGCTTTGTGTGGCCACCCGAGGTAAAGGCTACAGAGAAACTGGAAACCACGTTTAAGGCCATGGTAGACATGGCCAAGAATGGTCAACTGTTGGCCTACTATGAGTTTTCTTCAAACATGGGGATTTTTTTTCTCCAGACTTGACTATAGGAAGCTGAAGTGCAGGCCAGCCGCTGTTGTCATTTTACCACCTTGAAACTGAAAGAGGCGCGCGTGTGCGCACACACACACGCGCATTCATGTTGCCCTGGGCGTGGGGCACCAGTTCTCGGGGGGGGGGGGGCGGGGGGGTAGCAGTTCTAAAACAGTGTGACCGGGAGCAAATCCATTACCACCTGGGTGTGTCAGTGGCCTGGCAGACATTTGTAAAAATTATATATCCAGATGCACTGTTTTGCTGTTTTAGATTCTTTTTGCAGCATGCCCGTGTGCAGATATTTCGATATACTACTAAACCTTCCTTAATTAAATCTCTTCAAGTGTGCTGGTATCAGGAATGGGCTTAAGGGAATGAGGGGCTTTATTTTTTATTATTTTATTTTATTTATTTATTTGAGAGAGAGAATACATGAGAGGGGATAGGGTCGGAGGGCAAAGCAGACTCCCTGCCGAGCAGGGAGCCCGATGCGGGACTCGATCCCGGGACTCCAGGATCATGACCTGAGCCGAAGGCAGTCACTTAACCAACTGAGCCACCCAGGCGCCTGAGGGGCTTTATTTTTTAATGTATAAATGTTGGCATTCTCGTTTACATCAAGGTGGACAACAACACAGCGTTGGTTGACAAATTGAAGCTATTCCAGCAGGAGAATGAGGAATTAAAAGCTCGGATGGACAAGCACATGGCGATTTCAAGGTAAAAATGGTCCTATTTTCCCTGAGCTCCTCCCTTCCTTGAACGACGAGTGTTAACTTTCTTACCACACTCCACCCATGGTGGGTGGTTCAACAATGTGGACAATAGGATTGGAACCAATGGTGTGGACCACTGTGGTCCCTGGCAGACTGACGCTGAGAATGCTTTCAGAGATGGAGCAGCACAAGACCCAATAGGAAACAGCCCCAAGCATAAGACAGTCATCAGACATGGAGAAAAGCTGTGGTAGGGTCACCCACCCATCTATGAACTCACCCCCAAAGGTACTTTTCCTTGGGCTTACGCTCACACTCTCAGCGTTTCTCCAGCAGCCCGGCCCCCATTCCCAGCAGCCCTGGGCAAGACTCCCTTTTGTTCCAGAGGGATTGTTTCGGGGGCTTAAATTTTTTCAAGTTCCTTTGAACTCAGATCCACGTGGTTTGTGGCTCTTTTTTTGTCTTCAAGGCAACTCTCCACCGAGCAGGCCGTTCTGCAGGAGTCACTAGAGAAGGAGTCCAAGGTCAACAAGAGACTGTCCATGGAGAACGAGGAGCTGCTGTGGAAGCTGCACAATGGGGACTTGTGCAGCCCCAAGAGGTCCCCCACATCCGCCGCTGTCCCCTTCCAGTCACAGAGGAACTCCGGCTCCTTCCCCAGCCCCAGCATCTCACCCAGATGACGCTTTCTGGAAGCTGGGAGACTGAAAGCGTTTGTACAGGTCTGCGGGACTGACCCTAACCACGCTCATGGGCACGAGCGCTACCGTAGTGGACGCGTGATGACCACTCTGGAACTGGAGAGTCGCCACCCCCGAGGCTTCTTAGGAGACTGGAACTCTGGAGGAAGACTTGGACCCCGTCCAAGAGCCTCCTCCCCAAAGATCTCAGAACGGATCTACACGGACACTGTTGCACAAAGCACTTAAAGAACAAGAGGGTCTTGTTCATTGCCTTTTTCACCTAAGCATAAGGGGAAAAAAACTCTCAGGGGCCTGTTAAGATAAAGATTTATAACCTTTATAATGTTCTTCACCACAGACACCTTCTTGTGATTTTTATTTTGGTCTGACTGGGGATGTATGAATGAAATGGATGCACAGAGTGTCGTGTCTGATGCTGCCTCCTTTGCTGTGTATTCAAAGTCAAATGCTGCATATATCTGGGTGTGTACTAATCAAATAATAGTCAGTGTATGCACTTCTGCAAAAGCCATAGAAGGAGGAATGATCGTCGCTTGAATTAAGATTCTCGACCACCAACTCAGCTCAGCCCTTGACCGTGGGAAGCGGTAATGACAGGAAAGGCTTTGACTCGTCCACGTCTCTACAGCTCTGTATCCTTCGGGAGGAACTTGTTGGCAGTCTTTTGGTGTTTGGCAACGTCAGTTGAAACTAGATTTTTTTCCTGTAGATTTTTAACATCCCCATGTGAACCTAACAGTCTATTTTCTCAGGCTGTGTGCAGATATAGAACCCTAATTTTTCTAAAAATCTGTATAAAGAAAAAGGGCAGTACCAGTGGATTTGCTTCTGCCTTATTTTTACCTTGATCTGAGCTATTCCCACATATTGAAACTATCTGCTCTCCCATTATCCTCATTTCCCCTCTTCCTCTTCTCCTCCCTTCCTTCCTCCTCTTCACCCATCCCTCACTGCCCCCCCTCTCACCAGAGCCACGAAAGCAAGCCTTCTACCTCCTACCTACTTTTCTCTGGGACAAGGAATATGCTTTTCCAGAGCCAGCTCATCATCAAGGTGCCAAAACCACTTTCCAAATAAACCTAGGCCTGGATCTCCTAGTGCAAATTTTGGGAGACCCTAGAGAGAATGAAGAATAAGCCATTAGCTAGTAGAACGACGTAAGGTAGGATTCCGTGCTTATTGGTGAGTAGGAGCAGCCTGTTTAAGGCAGTGATGTGGTATTTAGTAAAACATTTGGGGAAGAGAATGCTAAGTTTCCGTGTACCCTTTGAGGAATCCTTCTGTCCTTGAGAAAGGAGCAGAACGGTCAGTCGATGAGCGGAAAACGGGGCATACACAACTCCCTCCAAGCTGCATTTCAGTTTCTTTTCTGAACTTATTACCTCTCCCCATTCTAAGACTTTGAGGGGGAAGTAGAAGGAAGAACTGTGGCTTCCTCTCCCTCTCCCTGCACGTCAGTGTTTACTAACCTGTGTTGCCCATGTCCCATGGCTGTACACATAACCGCTGTAGTATAGGAACGGATTTGGGACACTAGAGGTGGATATTCGAGTCCTCATTTACATGTACACTAAATAATAGCAAACTGATCTTCATGCTGCATGGTTGTTTTTATTAGTGATTGTGTCCGAAGCCTTTAACCTCCAGCAGTTTATTATGTATGTAACCTTCCATGTTTGCTTCTGATAAATGGGAATATGGGTTCACTGCCACCTCCTGGAATAGCTCTCTGCTTGTCCTTCTGAGTTGTTTTCAATGCCATTAGCCAAAGTTGGGTTTGCCATCCATCTCCTACACATGGGACATCTTGTGCTGTTCCTTATTGTCCTCCATACCATTTAGGTGTCTGGGGGAAATCAATCTTCTACACAATTAATACAAAATATCTTCAGAGAATGGGAGGCAACAGGAGAGTAGATAGGAAACGAAACAGAACTTTAAGATTTTTTTTTCAAACCAAATGTTTTTCACGTAGGATGCAAAATGTTGGCACGTCATGAAAATATGGATGTGTAAACTGTAGTTGTGCTCAGTTTGTAGTGATGGAAAGTGTATTTTACTTTGATCAAATAAATAATGCTGGAATATTCAATGTAAGAATTGCAACCTCTGACCTACTCCATCCTCCAAAGTGTCACCCAGTTTTTAGCCCTTCTCAAGACCCAGGTGACCATCTGTCTCCTCCCCAGGAGCTTCCAACGCAACGACAGAATTAGTCACAGGCTGGAATCAGGCTCTCAGAGCTAGACTTAGAGGTAAGCTTCTCTGAATTCCCAGCTATGTGTGTTGGAGAAATTTTGACTGATTTTAACAATTTCTGCTATTTAATAAGGTAAGAAAATGGGAACAGCTTAAGTCTAAATATTTTTAAAGATGGTAAAAAAGCCTAAATGAACTTGAGTCTTCCTTGATCTGGAAATCTAGTTTATATTGAAAGTTAAATTTTTAAAAACTCCGACTCTAGAATGACTCATCGTAGGACTTCGAGTGCAGCAGCTTTTAAAAAGGCAAGTTTATGTAATTTTTTGATACCTTTGTATTGTATTGTAGATACAGTTGAACCATGTATTACTCCATTTTTAGATCCTCATGTGTTGTAGTTGTGATATCAGATAGAATCTTGGGTAGTGACCCAAACCTTGCTGCCAACAAGTCCTTCTGGCTGTACTTCAACCTAAAAATGAACACTTAGCTCATTTTGTATTTTTTACAAAAACTTGCTCATTTAAAAGAAACGAGGCTATAAAGTTGTTAATATCAATGCTTTTTTTAATTATAAAAAGTAGAAATGCATGTAGATAGGTAAGCAATCAAAATACATGCTCTCTGTTCGAGGAGTTAACACTTCTATTATTAGACTGGATGACTTCCTTTTAGTTTGGATGTCTGGGTCTGACTCACAGGGCAGGGGGTGGGGTTTGGCACTTGACATCAGCCTCTGGCAAAGCATTAGTCAAAAGAACCCCAAAGCGGGTCATGGACACAAATGAACTTTCCATCAATTCATTATACTTCATTTGCCAAGTCAGGAGAACTCAACAGTGGTAGCAACTGTAGTCTCCCCTTGGAGATTCTGAGCGGTGCAAATATAATATCCTACATCAGTGGTCTCAAAGTCTTCAATTGTCATGATGCTCTGGGAGATTCTTGTGGTATGCCCCAGTCCTCGGTGGATCAGCCTCCAACTGTCTTGAATCGTCACGGGCCTTTCATCCTGTTGAACGACACCCCCATGCACTGAAGCACAGCACCAAGCTGCTACAAACAGCTCGCATTCACCCAACACCATTGGGTGGTGTTGTCAAAGTGCAAAATACGTACTTACTAAAGACTATTTGGTATGCAGAGCACAGGGGAGCTTTTGTGCTGTATAAACATTATACCATTTGGTACGCTCTTTCTGCTCTTCAGTATGTGGCTACTTAATATAAAATTTATTCTTTTGGAACTCCAAGAATGTGGAACTGGTATTAGGCAAAAAAAAACATGGGTAAAAATTTCCACTGCTCTCCTCTTCACATTGCCCACTTAGTAGTTCTTGGTCACAGAATTTAAAAGCAAGTGTGAATGAATAAGAGCTCCTCATTGTTCAGATTTGGGGAAGGGAGAAGTAGAAATAGTCAAATATGCCAAAGGACTCCAGTGGGGAGAAAAGTTGTACCCCGAGGATGGATAACATGATGCCCTAGATGACATAACTCCCTATTTCTAGAAAGTGAGAGGGTCACTTTTAAGATCTTCATCCAACTTCGGTGATAAGAATGTAGTATGTTCTGGATTAGTTTAACGTAACTGTAATATGACCAGTATTAAAAAATACCCTTTCTGCTCGTAAAAAACAAAACAAAACAAAACTTACAAATCACTGATGTCTTCAAAGTGTGACTGACAGCACTTCTTAAAAACATGTACCTAGTCCCAGGAAACTACTTTTCTCCGGGTAGAGTTATTTTCCACCAACCATAGTATAGCCAACACACTTCTGGCTTATGGGCTGTGTATGTCTTAGGAGGCCAAATCTCTTCTGGCAAGGAAGGGGTTATTCCATGGTGGTAGCAAAGCTGTTTATTTTAGTGAGCAAAACAGGCACGGGGGCTAAATGTGAGCTTGTTGCTCTTACGGAAAGTCTATTTTAACATACTCTCTGGCCTCACAGCACTTTTGCCAGGGCCTAGGTTTATATGCCCACCTGGTGGATGTCCTCACCACAGGGTAGAGTTTGCACTGCTGGAAACCAAGTGGCCTCCAACTGACCCAGGATTGGGGGTGGAGAAAGAGGGAGGCTCCCCCCTTTCCCTTCCAGGTCTCCTCCCTGCTTAAGGGTTACGAAGAAAAATAACCTATGTCAAGGGTATGCTGAGCTGCCTAACGGAACCCACTTCTTTTCCTGTCCTTGAAAAAAAGCGCCACTTGTAACTATACTGAAATGTCTTAGGAAACTAGGAAGCCCGGGCGCATACCATAGTTCCACACATTGGTTGCACTTAAGTTCGGATCTCTTCACTTAGGGGTGGGGATGGGGGACAAAACCGTGAGCTGAGAGAGCTGGCTGGGATGGGGGCACAGCCCTTACCTTCTGTCCCGGATAGATCCACCTGAATTCCACCTCAACGTCAGGTTCCCCAAGGACCGTGCAGAGGACACTGATGTCATCCCCACTTCTCACTTTGTTTGAGGATGCCAAGATGGTTGTTGACGGAGGGCCTCTGGGAACTGAAAGGAAGCAGGAGATGGGGAAGGTGAGATGGAAATCCACGAGTATGACCTTGAAGACAAACCTTGAGCTATATTCTGTTCTTTGAACAAAGCTGTAGCGTTTCTGCCTGCCCTCCAGCTTCCCAGCCAGCTTCAGGCCTAGGCTCTCCCACCACTTCCCGTGTCCTTTGAAGCCTCCTCTCCTCCTTGACGGTCCAGAATGGGGAGCTCATCCAGGACTCCCAGGCCCAGTCATTATATTTACACTAGGAGAGGAGCTAGAAGTTCTCGGAGTAAGAAGGGCAATAAAAAAGTTGGGGGAGAAGAAGGTGCGTGGAGAAAGAGCACGCAGAAGGTAGAGAAGGGGCAGACTGGAAGGAGGGCAACTGAAGGGGTGAAGAGGAACAGGTGGGTGTATGGCTGTCTCCTCAGAGGGAAGAGGAGAATGTGTGAATCGAAGGAAGAGGACATTCCGTAGGAAGGGCCCAAGTACCACATCTGTTGGCGGTCCCTTCACAGCACTGCAGAAACGTTTCTTCACTGGGGTCAGTTCACTCAAGGATTTTCATGGCGGCCTTGAGCAAGGCAATGGACTAGGAGCCAGGACTACAGCAGCCAACAACCCAGACGTGGTCTCTGAGCCCTTGGGGACCACTCTCCGTGGTCTGGGAGGAGGCAGACACTAAGCAAGTAATTGTACGGTTTATGTAAAACGTGAGTTGTGTCAGGAACTGTGAAGGAGAAGCCCAGCATGTTCTAGAAGCTCAGAATAGTCTGAAAAGCAAGAAAGACCTCCTTGCTTGAGGGAACACTGTTTGAACTAAAATCTGAAGGGTGAGCTTAACAGGCATGGAGGAAGAAGTAGGGAGGCAGCCACGGCCTGGGAATCCCAGTGTGCAGAGCCCCCACCGTGAGGTGGACGAAGGCCAGGCAGGCCACAGCAGGGTAGGGAGAAGGACAGAGGCTGGTCCAGCAAGGCCCTTCAGTCCACTGCAAGATTCCGACTAGAGGTCTAAGAAAAGTGGCAGCCTACTAAATGGTTTTAATTGTAATTATCATCAGCTATGGTGTGGAAGATGGAGGAAGAAAAAGGGAAATCAACTGAAAAGAGAGTTGCATTAGTACCAGGAGGAGAAGATAATAGTTTGAACTTCTCTTTTGCAGTAAGGATAGGGAGAAATAGGGCACGAAAAGTAGGATGTGAAAATGATTTGATGGAAAAGGTGAAAAGGCCTGGGAAGGAGACAGGACTGTCAGAGTGACTCCCAGGTCTGGGCCACACATACTCACCTGGGAGTTAGCAGTGAGCAGATAGGAAGCAGAGCATGGGTATGGCTGAGACTGGCCAAGAGGAGAGCAAGGCATGAGAAAGAAGGGTGTCCTATGGACCTCCACCACTGACAAGCTGGAAGAGGCAAAATGCTGACAAAGCAGAATGAGAAAGTGGGGGAAAATCAGGAAAACTTGAAGCCAGGGAGGAGGCATTTCACGTAGGTGTGGTAGAATCTAGTAGGACGAAACAGAAACTTGTCTACTGGATTTGATGGCCTGCGAGTCCCGAGTCCCTTAGCAAGAGCTGATTGGGTGGGACCCTGAGGAAAGAGATGAGCGTGTAGGAGGGAAGGAAACACAGGGAATGGGGAGCATCCTTCAGGGCATTTGGCTGTGATGGCAAAGAGAAGACCTTAGCCGCGGGCTCAGGATGGTCAAGAAGGGTTGAAAGTTACTTGGCAGCAGTGTTACTTGGGGGCCATGGTCTACTGAGTAAGTCCCAGAGCTGAGAATAAGAGGCATCGAGGAGTCCAGATTCTCATCTCGGAGAACTGTTTGTTGGTGGGGCCACTCACGCCTCTCCAGGGCTGCTCAAGCAGCAGCACTGCAGAATGACTTCTCCCCCGCCACCCCCACAGACCACTCCCCCCAGTCATAGAAGAGTTCTTGGAGGGAGACAAGTTACCACTGAAGGACTATGGTACATGAAAAGGAACCATTTCTTCCACTCACCTAAAGGGGCTGGCGAGGGGGGGCCTTGTGTCCTGGAAGTCACGAGAGGGAACCCCAAGAGAGTCACTGGTTAAGGGAGGGGGCAGCATGTTATTCTGCTTGCTAGCTGCACTTGTACCACCAGCCCAGAGCTGGAGAGCACTGGGAGTGATGGTCTGTGGGGGCCGCCAGGGGGACAGGAGACCCAGACTGTGTCCCCGCTGTAAGTGTCTAATTCGTACACGCTCCGGAGTCAGAAAGTGAAGAGACAAGGAGGACAATGAGCCAACGAGGAGAGTGACTGGAAGGGAGAAGAGAAAGCTGGTGGAGCCACGACACTCAGAGGAGCAGAGGTTCTTAACAGAGGATGAGAGGATGAGGGTGAGGAAGTAAGAATGGGCACATGTCAGGGGC